TTCTCAGTTATTATTTATTTGAACAAGGTCTCTGCTCCTTTTTGCCTCTCTTCTCCCTCTGGAATACCTATAATCCTTATGTTGCATTTCCTAATTGAGTCAGATATTTCTCAGAGAATTTCATCATTTCTTTTTAGTCTAAGTTCTCTCCTCTCCTCCATCTGAAGCATTTCTGTGTTCCTGTCTTCCAGATTGCTAATTCTGTCCACCATATTATCTGCCCTGTTGTTTAAGGACTCCATATTTTTCTTTATCTCATCCAGTGTGCTTTTCATCTCTAACAGTTCTGTTTGGTTTTTCTTTATAGTTTCGATCTCTTTTGTGAAGAATTCCCTCTATTCAGTAATTTGGTTTCTGATTTAATTTAACTGTCTTTCAGAATTTTCTTGTGGCTCATTGAGTTTTCTTATGATGGCTGTCTTGAATTCTTTGTCATTTAGATCGTAGATTTGCTGAACCTCCCTCCACCATGCAGGCCCCTCGCCAATATTTAATCTGTGCTTCTTTCACTGTACTTTGCAGTCACCAAGCCTCCATGTGCGTGCTCTCTTCCTGTCATGTATTGAAATATCTTGTCTTTTAATGACCTCATTCCCATTCTCTTTGTTTTGGGGAGTTTATATCATTTCCCTCCTTTATTTTAATTTCAGTGGTCTTGGGGGGACAGGGGAAATAGATGAGTATGTTTAAGTTCACATCTTGAACTGGAAACTTACAGGATAGTCTTTTCAGAAATGAACCCAGTGGGCATAAATGTTATTTTGTATTTTTAATCCATTATTTGATGTACAGGTCCATGTTGATATGTCTATAATATCGTTTTGATATTTAATGGGCTCCTTTAAACATTTTGAGCAGTGAACACATGGGTGAAGTTGTTTATGCCATTTTCTTGAGTCAGTGCAGTTCTGTGGAATGGTGTATGATGTGTGCTTCGCATGGTCTTTGTGACCTGTTAAATATATGCTTAAATGGTATTGTCTAAAAAATATAATTAGAACTTGTAATTTCCTATTACGTGGCAACACTTTTGACTTCAGTTTATCAAGAATAAGGTAATAAGCATTTTCACATACCTCTTACACACATGATTTTTTATTTAAATGTAAATGAATATTTTCTTTTAAAGTTGCCACAGTGCCACTAACAAAAGTATAAAAATACTCTAGCAAAACTATAAAAATTTTAAATACTTTTGGACTCCTATTAGGGTTAAAGCACTATTTGGAAATTTTCAGTAGGGATATTCTCATTTTCAGGATGAGTTTCTGTATTAGGAACAATAATATTTTAATACTTCAGAGCAGGGTCTTATTATGAAGGTTGTTGGCTCAAAAATGAGAAGCAGATGGATTTTTTGTTTTTGTTTTTGTTTTGGGTGCTTTAATCTGATACTGAAGGAAAATCAATATAAAATTTTCCAACGTGTCCTAAGCAACTTAATACCTTTCTATACTGACTATTTTCAAAGACAGCCTTAATGATGTAGTGAACTTTTTAGTATGTTACCTTAAAAAATATTTATATTCATAGCTTATATATTCAATGAAACATTTTATGGGTTTTAAAAGTTAACTAGTCAAAAGCTTTAAAAACTCTTTTTTAAAAAAACAACATTTAAAAACTTCATTAAAAGATTTTCTTTTAAAGGCAAAAAGTGTTACTTTCAGATGTTTCATTAAATGTTTTAGTTACTCAGAAAATTGTGACTGAATCATTTAGGACAACATTTTATATTTGCCTAAATTATCTGTAGATTGAGGATCAATAAAATTCCTTAATAAAAACTAAGGAATAACAGGTATGTTGATAAAAATCACCAAAGTCCGTAGAATCTTGATATTTGCAAATATTCAGGTGTTTCTGTTCATTCTTCAGGGCATGTCCTATAGACAATTGGAAGTCAGGAGATACGTTTTATTTTTAAATTAGGTAAATTGCTGTCAGTGTTGGTATTCAAAGCAGGAGAATCTCTCCAAATCCGGCTTGGAGGCTTCTCTGTTCTCTGTATCAGTGGTCTTGTGTTTATACCTCCAGAGTAAATAGAATCTGCATCAGATGCTTTTCTCTCTAAGTCCTTAGGCCAGGGTGTGGTCTGTACTGACTTAAGGCCCCAAGAATGAGAGGCATTTCATGCAGCTCTCTGTATACTGGAGCTGAACTGGGAGACGGTGCGCAGCCTCAGGGAGTTTCTTTTACCTTGTTTTCCTTCCAGGAGTTGGGCAAGTTGGACCCCGTCATCCTATTCCTATGTATGGAGAAATTAATGTGAAGGCTGTGGCCCAGGATGATCCTTTGTCAGTAACCATTGGGCGTGCATTAAAACAACAGTTTGCAGACGGCACCTTCCTTGTTTATGACAGGGAAGATTATGGGCAGTGGATTAAATTAAAAATTGAAAAAGAATATTCATGACAGGAAATGTATTTCCTTTCCAGTGGTGTTTTGCATCAGTAGGAACAGCTGGTAATTGATGTGTCATCAAACCAGCTTTCCACTGGCTTCCTGTATTTTTCCAAATATCACTTTAAGAAAGCACACAGAATTAAGGAGAAGTACTTTTAAAATGCTTGACACTTAGTCTCAAATAGAGGAAATGAACTGCAAGATGGGATACATGTTATACTTTGCAGTGGGTAGGAAAGATTGCACTTATATTAGAAATGCTACTCTTTTAGAGGAGAATGAGTCTCCTTCTGACTTTACCATTAAATCTGCTAGGAAATCTGGAAAAGGGTGTAGGTATAGACCAGGGATGGGTGGGATTCAGGGCCTGTATCCCTTACTAATGGGTAGTGTTTTTTCTTTTACTAATAGGTAGTTTTGATTGTTTAACTTGAAGTGTATATCTCAATGTCTGTATCTGAAAAGAGCCTTAAAATGGCATCATCTGTATGTATATACCTTTAAAGTTTTCAAACATTTTCACAAGCTTATTTTTGTTTCTTTGATGATCATCTGAACTAGGTGTTATATTATTAAGACCTTTCTTGTCTAGGCAGAGAGGATTTTGGGACTTGAACCCAGGTCCTCTTCATATTTCTTGTTCGGGGATATTTTTCTTTTAAATCTTTTAAAATGTATTAATAAATATTTAAGATGTTTAAATAGGTGACCAATGAGATTTTATCATCATTTTGAATTGTTGATTTTGGTGTGTCTGGTGTGTTTTATTTCATTGCATTTATTATTGTTCCTGATGCTCAAATTGTCAGGTTGACTCCTGTATTGTGGTCTCTGTGATCCTTGGTAGGTTCTCTATTTTGTGGCACAAAATAAAGTGAAGTGTCCAAGCTTGTCATGTACCTCCCACTACAGACCTGGATCTAGCTTTACCAAGAAGCCCTTCAGTGGGAAATTCTATTTGGAAACCAGTGATTGACAGTAGATATTGGAACAAATTCTAGCTTGAGTCTAACAGAATCTCGAAAAGAGATAACTGAGCAAATGGGAAGTACAGATATAAAGAAATGATTTTTTTAAAAAAGCGTCTAGAGTTCAAGGAAGACATGAAAACTTAGAAGTGAAAGACCCACAGAGTACTTTAATTTCAGTACACCAAGTATAAGAAAAAAAATTTTAAACTCATCAATAATGGAGGAAAATCATTTGCCAAAGAATGGTTGTCAAAATGACATCTGATGTCTTATCAGAAGATTCGAGATTTGAGATGACAGTGGGCTATAATGTCAAAGCTCAGATGACAAACTTATTATTATCCCCTAAATCTCTACGAAGCCAAATAGAAAAACAAACCAAAAGTTTTCAAATATGCAAGGACCTAAGGTTTACAACCTACAAATTATCTGAAAGACTTGCTAGATAATGTATTCTAGTTATAAAAAACAAGAACAAACCAAAGTAAGTGGAGTGTAAGAAATACAAGTAGTCAGAGATCATAAAAAAGTTGTTAAGCCTAATTAAGCGTCTAACAACAATCCCTGAAATTTTAAGAGACATCTGTAACCAAATGTATATACACATACACACATATATGTAAAATAAGTGAAAACATGTCTTTTCAAATTTTTAAATAACCACTATAAGAATGGCAGCAGGTTATAAAATTTTCAAACCTTAGGGGGAAAAATGGAACAAAGAAACTTGAACAATCCAATAATATTTAGAGATGGTTATCGGGAACACAACAAAATACTGTGGGAAAACAGCAACACGTTATGGTGATGGAAACAAGCCCAGTCTTATCCATAATCACCGTATTGTGAAATAAGTAGATACACCTATTTAAAAGCAGGAACTCCAGATTCAGTATTAAAAATTCCAGCTATATGCCACTTGCAAGAGATAGACTTAAATTAAAAATACTTAGAAAGGCAAAAATGGATAGACCTATAGATAAATAGGTAGATGGGGAAAAGCTACATCAGGCGGATGTTAACAATAGACACAGCACTGTATCTCACTCTGATGGAACCTCACTGTGATGGTTAATCTTGTGTGTCAACCTGACTGGGCTAAGGGATGCCCAGATGTCAAGCTGGTAAAACGTTATTTCTGGGTGTGTCTGTGAGGATGTTTCCAGGCAAGAGATTAGCATTTGAACTGATAGACTGAAGAAAGATTACCCTCATCCAAGCAGGTGGGCGTGATCCAATGTGTTGAGGACCCAAATAGAACAAAAAGGTAAAGGAAGGGCAAATTTGTTCTCTCTACTTGAACTGGGGCATCCATCTTCTCCTGCCTTCGGATGTCAGTGCTACTGGTTCATGTACATTCTGATTTCTGAGTCCTGGGGGCAACTTACGCCATTAGACCTTTAGTTTTCAGGCCTTTGGACTCAGACTGAATTATACGCCCAGTTTTCCTGGTTCTTCAGCTTGCAGATGGCAGATTGTGGGAGTTCTCGAACTCTATAACTGTATGAGCCAATTCCTATAATAAATTTCTTTATTTATATACATTATATTTATTCTATTGGTTCTGTTTCTCTGGAGAACCCTGACTAATACACTCATCAAGGAAAGCTATCTGCAACTGGCCTGGGAAGGAGGGTGGCTTCACTGAGGCGTGAAGGCATTTAAGCAGGCATCAGAGTCCAGTGGGAGGACAGAGCACACACGTCAAGGGGTGGTAGGCAGAGCTGCATATCTCGAGGAGCATTCTGGGCCTTGAGGACTCTGGATGCTTACCATGGATTACAAGATCAGAGAGGTGACAGCAGTAGCCAACACCAATGCCTGGCTCTGCAGTAGGCCTGTTACCTTACTCAGTCCTTGCTGCAGCCCTGTTGGTTATATTTCTATTCACCTTATTTTTTTGGTGGGACACCAAAGCTGGCTCAAGTGCTTGGTAGTTGTAATAGTGGAGCCACCATGTGCTGAGAAACTGCAGATGGCTTACAAACTGTTGTGAGCTCAGCAGACCCCCGCATCAGGAGTCATGCAATGGATTACACTTAGCTCCATCCTTCGCCCATCCCAGACCTGAAGCCAGGAAGTGGCAGCAGAGAAAGGAGGAAAACCATCCAGGCACTTTCCCTGCGTGCAGAGAGCAGCCTGAGATGGCTCAAGGCCTAGTTCAAATGATACTTTCTATAAAGAGATTTCTGGGTCCCTTCTAGTCAGAACTAATCTTTTGCATTTCCATGATATCAAAACACTTATTTACAAGTTACTACTAGGAAGATTCAGAGAGAAACACAAGATTTGGGGTCATAAGAACAGAGTTTAAAACTTTGGTCAAATGCTCCATAATTGTGTGAGCTCTGAAACACCACCGTACCTCGTGGATCCTCTTCCTTAAAATACTAATGCTTTCTGTGATAACGTCACAGTACTGTTGTGAGTGGTGATACTTTTTAAAAATTTGTGTTTTTGTTAATAAAATTTTTGCACATAGATTAAATACTAATATAGTTCTACATGGCTTATTTATATTTCTTCCTCCATTTGCATTTCCCAGAAGCAATGAATTCCAACTCTTAGCTGTTCCTTTGAGATTTACATTTAAATCTCTGAATGAAATGCTTCTAATAACTCCTACTTTTTGGTTTAGAGTTATGGTCAATATCTAAGGACTTCCCAACACTGAAGGTGAGAATTTAATTCTCCATTCACTCCTGCCACCAAATAAGTACTATACTTCCCCTTTTCTTCCCATATTCTCCCAAAGAAATTGTCATCATTTTTGGTTAAACTAATATATAGTGTGTATATTAAAATAATTATGAAATTACTATTCACATGAGAGCCATGCAGTGAACTATGATTATATTTATTTTCTAGTATAACCTTTTATTTTCCTCAGAGTTAGTGCTATTATCTTTTTCCAGTTGTTGAATTTTTCATCTTAACAATCACTGTTTCATCCCCAAACTTTCTAGTAGAAGTGTAAATTGCTCTCCTTATGTTCAGACACATGTGGTTTTGTATCTTTCACATTCTTAGAGACATATCTTTTGAAGCATTTTGTCTTCCTGTTTGAAACTAAATTGGTTGTTCCCTAGGCAACAGCTGTTGAACTGGTATTTTCTTTCACTATTGGGTTCTGTCAACAAATCTCTTGACACCAACTGGGTGTCCTACAATCGAATTCAATTCTGACCCTGACTGCTCAGAGTTAGCATCAGATCTGATAAGGTAAAGGGCAAGGTCCCCAACAAGACTGGCCTTACTTCAGACGCCACCCACAAGTGGGGTCTCCAGGCTATCCACACTTCTACCCAACTGACTGAAAATTGGGGTCTTCCCAAAACCCCCTCAGGTTTGATAATTCACTATAAGGACTCACACGACTCAGGAAAATCCCCTACTTACAATTATTGTTTTGTTATAAAGGATATGAATGAATGAAGATGAAGACGTACACAGAGCAAGGTCTAGGAGGGTCCCAAGCACAGGAGCTTCTGTCTCTATGGAGCCAGGTGGCACCACCCTCCCAGTACATCGATATGTTCACCAATAAGGAAGCTCTCCCAAGCTTTGTTGCCCAGAGTTTGTAATGAAATTCCGTTTTGTAGGCATGATTGATTAAATTATTGGCCACATTATTGAACTCAATTTCCAGTACCCCCTCCCCTCCCTGGAGGTTGAGCTTGTCAGGGAGGGGAAAATTCCCTTTTTACCCTTCTTGTGTTCTTATGGTTGGACTAATAATAAAATTGACACAAGACCAGATTAAAATGAGAAAAACCCAGTTTAATATGTATGTATTGGAGATCATAGAGAAATAATGCTTGGAGAATGAACAAAGCAGGCAGCATATATATCTTTTACACAAAGAAACGATAAATTTGTGAGGAATGACAGGACAAAGAAACTTAGATTTGAGGTATGTAATTAGTGAGGAATTTAAGCAGAGTTCAGGCTTGAGATAGTAAATCAAGATTTGTTTTTATTTTTATGCGGGTTTGTCAGCCCTGAATTCCCTAGCTCTGGTGATAAGGATGCAGGGAGAGCACCTTTCACGTGGGAGATTTATTTCCTAGTTTCAGGGAGAGCAGAGACAGGAGGGTCAGAATGCCCTTTTTCCTTCTCAAATAACTTTAATACAAAATAATCAGTATGCTATTGTGAGATATTTTAGAGTGGCCCCAGGCTCCCACAAGCTCAAAGTTCCAGCCCTCTGATCTCATCCAGGGTTTTCCTGATGACCAGCCCCCTTCTTGAAGCTGTTCAGGGGACCCCTGCCATAAGTTACTTCATTAGCATAGCACAGATATTCCTGTCACTCAGGAAATTCCAAGCATTTTTGAAGCTCCATGTCATGTCAGGAACCTGGGACAAAGTTTAGATATATGTGTTTTTTATTATACCACAACCATCAAGTAGAGAATTCCTGGTGCTATTCTCCAATTATGTCCTTTTCAGGGACCCATGTTATCATCTTTCTAGGTTTATGTTCTCATTCTGGTGGATGGTGTCCATCAGCAGCACTCTGGAAAAGGGTGCATAGAAGAGTATGTTTTTGAGGTCTTACCTGACTCTTTTTCCCTTATATTTGATGGATAGTTTGGCTGGGAATAAATACTTTTTTCCAAATAATTTCTATATAGCTAAAGATTTTTTCCTCAGAATTTTGTTGTTCCTTAGTCTTCTATCTTTCACTGTTCCAAATTCCAAGAACTCTGTTTTGTACTCTTACTGTTCTTTGTTGGTAGTATATGTGCTTCCTGTTGAACCTTGTTATTTTTATATGGATGCAATAGCTTCTGTTACATCTCTGAAGTTATTTTTTTAAAGTTGTGGAAGTTTTTATCTGCTCCCTGTATGGTCTGTTTCTTAAAAATTCGTTTATTCTTTGCTTATTTTGGTCTTTGTTTTTCATGGTAGAGGCTTTGCGTGCGTGTGTGTGTGTGTGTGTGTGTGTGCGTGTGTATGAATGTGTCGGAGATGGTGGTGGAGTGGGCTTCACTATGGGCCTGAACATGATGAGCATGAGCTGGCAGGGAAGGTATTTTGGGGACCTCAGTATGATTATATATTTTCTCTTGGGCTGATCTGTTTGCCCAGAGAAAATTTTTCTCTTATACACCTGGGCAGTATGAGTCTGGCAGTCAGAGTTCTGGGAGCCAAGAAGGGACAGGGCCTGGAGGGTTCAGGTGTTCTTAACCCCATCTCTATTTTCAGTATGTTACCTGTATTATAGCTGTTTGTCATACAGAGTCCTGGTCTGTCCTCTCCTGAGAGTGAAATTCTAATATTCTACCAAGGCAGGGAGAAATAGTTGCCAATTATGCATCTGAGTACATCTGGGCGTTTAAACGATTCTTATAAAGACTTTATTCTGATACTCCTATTTTAGCTCCATCTACACTTTTATTGTCTTGGTTACTTGCTCCCTCCCATGTGTGAGCCGTTCTGGGCTCTGACTTAGCTTCCTCTACATAAGCTTAGATCTGCACTTTGCAGACTCTGTCATCATTTCTTGTTCCTTTACTTTTCAGATTCCAAGTTGTTTACGTTATCTCCTTTCACGTTTATCATTTTTTGTAAGTGTAAATTTGTGCCTTAATATATTTCTTGATTGTTTTTTTTTTTTTTGAAGTTTGGGAAGAAGAGGATGTATGCTTATGTCCAAATCATTTTTAATAGGAATCCTCTGAATGGTGGTTCTTAACCAGGACTGTGTACCAGAACCCCATGAAGACCTTTGTCAAATATTAGTACTTGAGGGATGTAGGTGAAAATGGTGGATTAAGAACCTTTGAAAATTCTCTCCTCCACAAAATCAAGGAGAAAACTGGAAAATTTTTCCAAAAACAACTTTTCAAAACTTTGGAAATTAACCAAAGGCTTGCAGAAATCTAGGGGACCTGGGGCCGGCCCCGTGGCTTAGCGGTTCAGTGCGCGGCTCTGCTACTGGTGGCCCGGGTTCAGATCCCGGGTGCGCACTGATGCATTGCTTTGTCCGGCCATGCTGAGGCAGCGTCCCACATGTAGCAACTAGAAGGATGTGCAGCTATGACATACAACTATCTACTGGGGCTTTGGGGAGAAAAAGGGAAAAAAAGGAGGAGGATTGGCAATACATGTTAGTTCAGGGCCGATCTTCCTCAGCACAAAAAGAGGAGGATTGGCATGGATGTTAGCTCAGGGCTGATCTCCCTCACAAAAAAAAAAAAAAAAAAAAAAAAAAAAGAAAGAAATCTGGGAGACCATTTCTTCCAGAAAACTGGGTGAATCTTGGTAATAACAATGGACTTTGTAACTTGTCTTTGCCCTGTAATTTGCATCCCACTATCTTCACTCCCCAGTAGCCTTGAAAACCGACAGTCTGCAATCATGGTGAAATTCATTAGCCTAACAGCCACTGAACGGAACAGAACAGTGTTAGGGTTCCTTCAAAGTCTCATTGCTAGAGAATAGTCATTATTTGTTCTGTCTGGTGATTCATTAGAAAACCCACTGGCAAGGCTGTCTTTAACAGACCTAATCCAGAGCTGACGCCATCCATAAAACTTTTTCCCTGGGAGGATTTGTTGAAAAATTTTTTTCCTCTGACTCCCATTTTCATATTTCTTCCATGTCACTGTAATTTCTTTGTTTTTTGTCTTTTTTTCTTTTTACCTTTTGACCCCCTTTACCCATTTCTCACTCCCCTCCTCTGGCAACCACCAGTCTGTTCTCTGTATCCATAAGCTTTTGTTTTTTTTTTTTGTTTTTAGATTCTGCACGTAAGACAGATCATACAGTATTTGTCTTTCCTTGTCTGACTTATTTCATGTAGCATAATGCCTTTGCAGTCTATCCATGTTGTCACAAATGGCAAGATTTCATTCCTTTTTATGGCTGAATAATATTCCATTGTATAAAATATACCACAATTTGTTTATCCATTCATCCATCAATGGACACTTAGGCTGCTTCCATATCTCGGCTAGTTTAAACAATGCTGCAGTGAACATGGAGATACGCATACCTTTTGAGTTAGTGTTTTTGTTTTCTTTGGATAAATACCCAAAGTGGAATTGTTGGATCATATGATAGTTCTATTTTTAATGTTATGAGGAACCTCCTTACTGTTTTCCATAGTGGCTGTACAAGTTTACATTCCTACCAACAGCTCACAAGTGTCCCCTTTTATCCATATCCTTGCCAACACTTGTTATTTCTTGTCTTTTTGATAACAGCTGTTCTAACAGATGTGAGATGATATCTCATTGTGGTTTTGATTTGCATTTCCCTGATGATGAATGATGAGCATCTTTCCATGTACCTGCTGGTCATCTGTGTATCTTCTTTGGAAAAATGTCTATTCATATCTTCTGCCCATTTTTTTGTTGTTGTTGTTGAGGAAGACTAGCCCTGAGCTAACATCCGCTGCTAATCCTCCTCATTTCACTGACGAAGATTGGTCCTGGGCTATCATCTGTGCCTATCTTCCTCTATTTTATGTGGGACGCCTGCCACAGCGTGGCTTGGTAAGCGGTGCGTAGGTCTGTGCCTGGGATCCAAACCTGCGAACCCTGGGCTGTTGAAGCAGAGCATACAAACTTAACCATTATGCCACTGGGCTGGCCCCTTCTGCCTGTTTTTTAATCCACTTGTTTGCTTTTCTGCTGTTGTGGTGTATGTTTTCCATGGTGAAAATTTTAGAAGTAATTGCTTAAGCTTGGAGCTGCCTGAGGCAATTGATGACGCTTCGGGAGAACAGCAATCTAACAAAACGATTAAAAGGAAAAGCTGGCGAGTTAGATGCCCACAGGGTCTTGAAAATCTCCAAAAAGCATGTGTAAGGCTATGCGCATGCTCAGGAAAGACTGAGAAGGCCTTAACTTCTCACTTCTGATTGACCTTGAGACAAGCAGGAAGTGAATGCCAAAGCAAAGTAGTCAACTTCCTGGCTGTGTGTTGAAGATGTGCCTCAATGCACACAGAGAGTCCATTGATAAACATTGTGACACTTATTGGTTGCAGACATTTAAAGAAATCTGTATTCCATCATTAGCTGAGAACTAAACTAAGCAAACAGAGACTTCAGTGGCCACACACCAAAGAATGCAGACTTTACAGAATCAATTCAGAACAGTTACTAAATAAATAAACAAGATCAAACCTGAGGGGAGAGAGAATATGATTTCCAGAGTTGTCACATTGTATTATTTAAAATGTTCCCTTTTCAACAAAAATATACAAGACATGCAATGAAAAAAGAAAATATGACCCATACACAGAAGTAAAGACATCAATAGAAACTATCCTGAGGAAGTCTATACACTCAATTTACTAGACCAAGTCTTTAAAACTGGTTATTTTATATATGTTCAATGAACTAAAGGAAATTATGTCTAAAGAACTAAAGGAAAGTGTAAGAATGATATCTCACCAGTACAGGATATCAATAGAGATAGAAATTATAAAAAAAGAGCCAAATATAAATTCTGGAGTTGAAAATTCTAATAACTGAAATGAAAAACTCACTAGTGAGTTTCAACAGCAGATTTGAGCAGATGGAAAAAAGAAACTAGAAACTTGAAGATAAGTCAGTTGAGATTATCCAGTCTGAAGAACTTAAAAAGAAAAAAAAGAATGAAGAAAAATGACCTAAACCTCAGAGACCTGTTAGACACCAACAAATATACCAACGTATGCAAAATGAGAGACCTGGAAGGAGAGGAGAGAAAGAGGAAGATATAATATTTAAAGATATAATGGATGAAAACTTCCCAAATTTGATGAAAAACATTAATCTACACATCCAAAAAGCTCAGTGAACTACAAATAGGATAAGCTCAAAGAGCTCTACACTTAGACACATCGTAATCAAACTGTTGAAAACCAAATACAGTGAGGATCTTGAAAATAGTAGGATAGAACTGACTCATCTCATACAAAGAATCCCCAATAAGATTAACAACAGATTTATTAACAGAAACCATCGAGGGTAGAAGTCAGTAGGATGACATATTCAAAATGCTGAAAGAAAAGCCATTCAACCAAGAATTCTATATCCAGCAAAACTATCTTTCAAAAATGAAGGAGAAATTAATATAGTCTCAGATTTTAAAACTCTCAAAGAATCCACATAATATGTCATAAGGGAAATGCAAATTAAAACAACAGTGAAATGCCACTACACACCTATTAAAATGGCCAAAATCCAGAATACTCACAGCACCAAATACTGGCAAGGATATGGATGGAGCAGCAGGAGCTCTCATCCATTGCTGGTGGGTATACAAAATGCTGCAACCATTCTGGAAGACAGTTTGGTGATTTCTTGCAAAACTAAGCATACTCTTACCATACCATCCAGCTATCCCACTCCTTGGTATTTACCCAAAGGAGTTGAAAATTTATATCCATGCAAAAACCTGCACATGGATGTTTATAGCCGCTTCATTCATAATTGCCAAAACTTGGAAGCAACCACAATGTCCTTAAGTCAGTGAATAGATTAATAAACTGTGGTAGATCCAGACAATGGAATGTTACTCATCAATAAAAATAAATGAGTTATCAAGCCATGAAAAGACACACAGGAATCTTAAACACATATTACTAAGCGAAAGAAGCCAATCTGAAAAGATCATATACTGTATGATTCCAACTATATTACTTCTTGAAAAGGCAAAACTGTGGAAACAATAAAAAGTTCAATGGTTTCCAGGGTTTGAGGGGAAGGAGTGATGAATAGGTGGAGTACAGAGAATTTTTAGGGCAGTGAAACTACTCTGTATGATACTAACATGGTAGATACATGTCATTATATGTTTGTCCAAACTCGTAGAATATACAACAGCAAGAGTGAACCATAATGTAAACTGTGGGCTTTGGGTGATAATGCTGTGTCTATGTAGGTTCATCAATCATAATAATTCTATCACTTTAGTGGAAGATGTTGATAATGGGAGAGGCTATGCATGTATGGGGGGCAGAGGGTATGTGGTAAATTTCTGTACCTTCCCATCAATTTTGCTGTGAACCTAAATTTACTCTAAAAAATATAAAGTTTAAAAAAAATTCTAAGAGAATACGTTGTTAGTAAACTTGCCCTGCAGGAAATACTAAAGGCAGTCCTTTAGGTGAAATGAAAGGACAGCAGATAGTAACTTGAATCCACATGAAGAAATAAAGACCACTAGTAAGATAATTACCTAGGTAAATATAAAAGACAATATAAATACATGTTTTGTTTATCACTTTTTTTCCTCCTATTTGATTTGAAAGACAACTGCATAAAGCAATAATTATAAATGTGTTGATGTGCATACAATATATGAAGTGTGGATGACAATGATAACACAAAGGAAGGGGAGAGGAAATAGAGCTATATAGGGGTAAAGTTTTTGCACCATATTTAAGTTAATATCAATCCAAACAGGATTATAATATGTTGTTAATTGTAATCCCCAGGAAAAATAGCTCAAAAATATATAGTAAATTAAATGACAGGGAAATTAAAATGGTACACTAGCAAGTATTGATTTAACAAATTACAAGGCAGTAAGAGAGGGATTGAGGTAGGGGTAGCCACATAAGACATATTGAAAACAAATAGCAAAATGGCAGACATAAATCCTACTTTTATCAGAAATTACATTTAATTTAAATGGTTAAACATTCCAATTAAACGACAGATTGACAGAATGTGTAAAAAAAATGATTTGACTATATGTGTCTACTAGAAATACTCTTTAGATTCCAAGACACACGTAGATTGAAAGTAAACGGATGTAAAAAGATATACCATGCAAACAGTAACCAAAATAGAACTAGAATGGCTATACCAATACCAGACAAATAGACTTAAAAAAAATGTTACTAGAGACAAAAAGGACATCTTATAATGATAAAAAGGGTTAATTCTTCAAGAAGATAGAACAATTGTAAACATATATGCACCTATCAGTGGGGCCCCAAAATACATGAAATGAAGAGATAGCAGAATTAAAGGGGAAAGAGACAATTCAACAGTAATATTTGAAGACTTAAGTACCCCACTTTCAACAATAGATAGAAAAAGACCGATGATCAACAAAGAAATAGAGATATAGAAAAAAATAGAGTTTTTTTTCTCCTTTGTGATTTCAAAGACAACTACATAAAGCAATAATTAAAATGTGACGTACATTAGACTTAACAGTAGATTTAGCAACCATTAGACTTAAATTAGACCTAACCGATACGTCTATAGGACGCTCCACACAGCAGAGCAGAGTACATAGTCTTCTTTTTTTTTTTTTTTTTTTTTTTT